AACCACTAAAAACCTTACTGCTCGGCTGATTGGTGCTGGCATTCACTGCTGAGCAAGTTATTTTTATTTTTCGAATGACTTTTTTATGAAGAAAGCTTTGATCTTGAGTATCATTAAGTAAGCATTCTCCCAAAATTTCAGCTTCCTATTTTTTATGGCTTCGGAGATAGCAGTTTTTCCCGCCGAAACTTCCACGGGGGCGTAACTGAGACTCGGGCTTAACTGAAAGCTGATTTTGATTTTTCTCGATCACGCGTAGACAGGGTGCATACACACAAAATTTCAGATTTCTACCTTCCGTGGTTCCCGAGATAATAATTTTCCCCACCAAAACTTTTACGGGGCCTTACGTGTTACCTGAAGACACGGGTAATTAAAGATTGAAAAGCCATGACGAAAAGCAGTTTTGTTTTTATTTTATTTTTGAATGTTCAGAGGATAGGGTCAGATTTTTGAGATACAAGCATTAAAAACAACAGCATACAGATGTTGCTGAACCGATTCAGTTGCCAAATTAGCAGAAAAATCGAAGTTTTGCATTGAAAATATTGGATTTTTTTTTGGAAATCCAACTTTAAAGGTGTTGCAGAATGATACAGTAATAAATGTATGTATTGGCAAGGAATGGTATCGTTTTCCATCATCGTTCTTCCTACCGTCCAGTGGCAGAAGTGACGGGGGCCGACTGTGGACAACCGAACTAAAATTCATCAAAAGTGAATTTGCCGGCTTACTACCCAAACCATATATGGTCGGTTCGATACCGCAGATTACACGCGCAATACCAACGGAAATGAATGATATGAATCACGAAGAAGTTAACAGGTGCGTACAGTCTCTTATTTTTCCAGCCTATTGAGGATGAGTTGTAGATGAGTTGGAAACATTTCCTGAAAGTTTCAGCCTCCCAGCTTCCCTAGTTCCGGAGTTAGCCATTTTCCTGCCAAAAATTTTTGGTGTCTAGCAATGTCTTAAAGAGCAATGGAGCGACGGATGATTGGCGCCAGTAGGCTGCAGTACATTCCAAATGCAATGCTCCGAGTCAGATCTTGCGCGAAAAACATTACTGAAGCAATGTACGACAGCAAGAAGAGATGGGCTGGTCATGTGGTACGAATGACAGATAATAGATGGACGAAGCGGATAATGGAATGGCACCCGCGCACGGTCAGTCGAACACTGGGGAAGCCATCAGTGAGGTAGAGAGACCCACTGGTACGCCTGTTTGGTATCGCATGGACTCGGAGAGCGCAACAGCGAATGGAGAAGAATGGAGAAGTTGCCAGTTGCATCGATGGTTTGACAACGAACGTCGATGACATATAGCTGCTCAAAG